CTATCGACCGGTAACCGGGGACTATTCCCCTTACTACCACTATCACATAACATCATACTACACTAGCATGTAAAACACATCAGATAGTGACAGACCTAAGTAATTATCACAAAGACAACTACTCGACAAACAATCCCTACTAGTGGGTCGGCATTGTGGCCGTAGATCCATTCCTACTGGAAGGTAACTCACCTCGATGTCGTAAAGTGTCTAAACTGTCCTTGCTGCTGGAATCAACCCCTATCAGATCCTACACATAGCAATCTTCCTTAATTACCATTTCCTGGTCAAAGTCAAAGTCAAGGTCAACACCTTGATCAAATCAACATCCAGTTGACTCAACTCGCCGAGTTGGCCCCACAACTCGTCGAGTTCCTAAATCATGAAAACGCCAAGACTCGATCCTATTCGCCGAGCCTTACAAGGGCTCGTCGAGTTCTCCTTCAAACAAAGTCGGGACATTCTACAACTGACTCGCCAAGTTCATCCTTGAACTCGTCGATTTCATCTTCATCTGAGTTAAGGTGTTTAGTCCTTGACTCGCCGAGTTCATCCTTGAACTCGTCGAGTTCATTTTCATATGTTTGGGATGTTGCCTTGGACTCGCCGAGTTCTGTTCTTGAACTCGCCGAGTTCCATGATTTCCAGGTCCAGTTTCACATCTATCTTGTTGAGTCCTCTTCTAGACTCAACTAGTTCGATCCAAGCAGAAAAGGTTTGGGGAACCATACCCCGACTCGTCGAGTCCCAAGAACAACTCGCCGAGTCCCCCAAAGTCCACGTCCATACAGTTGATTTTAGTCGGGTTTTAACACATCGAAAACGTAGATCTGGCCTCCTAGGGTCCATAATACACGTAAAGTTACAAACTTGACATTCATGCATGGGGTATTTGGCCCAAATGGCCATAAAATGGAGTCTACAAGATGCATGGGGCTCTTATGGCAATAAAGTTGGCACCTTTATGCCATAGGAACCCTTAATGGTTCCAAATCTGAAGTCATACCCCTTTATAACCACAAAATCCCGAAAATGGCACTTCTAAGGCTTAAAAAAGGTAGAAATGAACCCTAACTAGAGATCTAAGAGATAGATGGTCAAGGTTTCAACTTTATACCTCAAATGAGCTTGAAATGTGCCAAAACTTCTGGATCTTCTTGCTTCCTCTTGATCTCTCAAGCTTCCTTCTCCTTCTCAAACTTCAAATACACACAAATGGCACCAAAAAGCTCAAGAACACTCAATAAATGATTAGGGTTTCGAGTTAGGGCTTTTATGGATTGGGAGGACGATGGAGGTTGGGTTGGGACAAGATAAGGTGCTTAAATAGGGTGCAAACCCTAAATATTAGGGTTTCATCCAGACAGTCCTACTCGCCGAGTTGGGCTCCCGACTCGTCGAGTAGGTCACTTAAAACCCGCGTCAAAAGTCTAGTCTACTCGACGAGTTGGGCCTCCAACTCGCCGAGTCCCAGTGTAAAAACATACAATTTTTAAATTTAGAATATATACCGGGAATCGGGTGTTACAGTTCTATGTGTGTTTTTTTATTGTTTTTAGAGGTTTGATTCAAGTAAGTTGGATTTTCATCACTTACTCTAAATAAATCAACATCGGGTAACTGACTAGGCAAACCCATATGCGTAACTTATTTTTGATATTTGTTCAGATTGAAGGGGTTGAGGAAATAGATGAGCGGGACATTCAGAAGACCCAATTTATGAGGAATTTGAACTTTGTTTTGATATGTCTATTGTTAACAACCTAATTTAGTTTTCAAACTTGAATAAATTTACTATATTCGGACCAAAGTGATTTTCCTGCAAACATAAAATTGAAATTATGTGGAAAAGTTCCATGAAATAATAAAATTTGAAATTATGTGGAAAAGTTCCATAAATGTTTCTTAACTATGTTTTCAACTAGACCCTAACAAGGGATGTTATATAATCGGTTCGTTTTTTTGGAAGTGAAATTGTGTTAATTTTGTTTTTCAATTAAAAACCTGTTCAGTTCGGTTATGATAAAAACCGGTTCCATTATTTATAAAAATCTATATCAAAGTGACTGTTCCTTTTTAGTTAAACCTGTTATAGAAAAACCGATTTTGGTTTTTTTTAGACCAGTTAAAAAAATAAACCGGTTTACTTTGTGCACCTCTAGCTTAAACCCATATCATTCGTGTTGTTGAAGATTAAACTCATCTTATATAAGTGTGCATTATCACCACGATACATGTATTAGATTGGAATGTGATCCTCTTTTAACATTAAATTTTAGAATGAGTTGATATTAAAATCACAAATAACATTATTTCTAGTTACATTGTAATCTTTTAAGTCTAGTGAATCAAAACATCAAGTTGGGCTTCAAAAGTCATCTCACCATTGCAAACAATTGTCGTATTCTAAGGGCATATGATGGGTAGCTTGTACCTGATAGCGTTTTGTTACACGATACATTGAGTAACATTTGGATTTGAAGCGTTTTGTTTAAATTAAATGGTAGAAGCTTATAATGCCAAATAAAGTTTTCAGTTTAAAACGGAACGTTTAGCAAAAACTAAAAACTCTCAAATGATTCATGCCAAACGCGCCCGATATACTCATTACATCGCCACATGAAAAATGTTAATGTCATCATCATTCCAACACCACACCACTTTGATATGCTCACCACTCCACTATCATCTATTTATTTTTCATTTTCATTTTTTTATTAAAAAACATAAATAAAATAGATAAATATAATAATTATTAACCATATAATATCATTATTATTACATACCAAAATACCAATAAAACAAAATCATAGACTATTAATTATTCCATACTCGTCTCCACTAATTGTCAAATGGATAACATTTATTTCACACATATCATCTAACAATTTACATGCATTCATCCTCTCAACTTCTAATTTGTATATTCAGTACACCTTTTACTCAGAATTCATAAACAACAAAACTTGAAGCACAAATAGCCATGGGGCGATAATAAAAGAGAGATGAATAAAGAGAAGAAGAGAAAAAGAGAAAAAGAAGGAGATTAGTGAAAATAGCCAACCCATCGCTAACACATACCACGAACCACCATAACCATAATGATAAGACCATCTCTAATGGGAGTTTAATGGGGTAATCTCATTAAACTCAAAATTCCTATTTTGGAAAAATGATTAGGATTCAATAGAATGGAGAGTTGAATCCTCATTAAACTCTATACTCTCTCTCTCTCTCTCTCTCTCTCACACACACACACACATATATATATTATATATATATATATATATATATATATATTTATATATATATATATATATATAAATTATTTTTTATTTGAAATTTGAAAATTTTAATTAATGTTAATTTTAAGTGTAGTTTTTAATTTTTAATTTCATGTTAATTTTTTTTTTTTAAATTACAATAAATAAATAGAAAATGATAAATGATGTGACAATCCATTAAATTGTATAGAGTTTAATGAAATGTAGAGTTTAATAGATAAAGTTGTATAATGAGTAAAATGTAAATGTGTCAATCCATTGCACACATATGAGTTCGATGTATTGGAGATGACCTAAGAAAGACCGTAGCCTTCCTATAACTTCGTCGCGAGTTGCTCAGTGACTTATATACCTTTCGGCCTAAACATTAAGGTGCTGTTTGTTTTTTTTAGAAAACCTCTTCAAACCACTTTCTGCTGCGCGGCGCAGCACACGCGCAACACTTTCCCTCTCGCAACAGTTTGTTTTTTTGGAAGACTTCAGACTGCAAAACCTCTGCGCGTGTGCTGCGTGGCGCAGCACTTGACTTGCCTCTTCAAACCTCTTCAACTTTCATTTTTTTAAATTGTTTTTTTTTAGAATGTTGGTATAACTTTTTTTTTTTTTAAAACTTTTATTTACAGATTTGATACAATTTCTTATTATAGTTTCCACAAATTTTTTTAACTTAATTTTAAAAAAAAACTTTAATTTTTTTAATTTTTTTACCGTTTCTGTTAATAATATTTTCAGTTTCAATTTCAATTTCATCTTTATTAACGTGTGTAATTTTTTACGAACTTTGTAGACATCGTTTGCAATTCTTTCTTAATTTTTTTATTATTTTCTTTTTTATGTTTTTTAAAATTAGTTTTTTTCTAGAATAAAGCTGTTAGCTTCTTTTATATTTTTGTAAGTTTTTTAAAAAGTTTTATATTTTTGTTTTTTTACATGTTATTTTTAGTATTTTTCAATGTTTTAAGACTAGAATTATTTAAATTTAGTGTTGAAAACTATTTTCAGTTTATAAAATTAGTTTATTTAAAGTTCAGTTTACTGCAGCAGTCTGCAGATGTTAAAAAACAAAACATGCTTCTTATTATGGGCTGCCCCGTTTGTTCCACCTCTTCTGCTACAGAGGATTGCAAAGGTGATCCGCAGACTTTACGAATTTTCGCTTCGAAAAAAACAAACAGCACCTAAATCGTTTTCCATCTTCACTTTAATTTGAGTCTACACAAATAAACTCTTTTTTATTTTATTTTTTTAAATATTGGGAATATTTAGGCAGCATATACCACGTGATTCGTTCGTGACATAACAAACCATGGTTAAGTGTCATCTAACCCTAGTTCACCACGACACCTTTAGCTCACGACACGTGTAACTTTCAACGGCATAGATGAGTGTTGCATAAAAAATCAATCGTCGAGCGCACTTATAACCTCAGACGACTTCAACCCCTAAACCCTAAACGGCATCTGTTTTTGACTCTGGGAAATAGTGTGTGAGGATAATCTTTACCAAAAATCCATTAATGGCTAACCCTATGGTTTTCTTTGACATGACCGTCGGTGGTGCCCCCGCCGGGAGGATCGTCATGGAGCTGTAATGCCGATACCACTCCCAGAACCGCCGAGAACTTCCGCGCTCTGGCACCGGTGAGAAGGGAAAGGTACCTCCGGCAAGCCCTTGCATTTCAAGGGATCCTGCTTCCACCGTGTGATCCCTAACTTCATGTGCCAGGGAGGTGACTTCACCAGAGGAAATGGAACCGGCGGCGAATCAATCTACGGAAACAAGTTCGCCGATGAGAACTTCATCAAGAAGCACACCGGTCCAGGTATCCTCTCCATGGCCCAACGCCGGTCCCAACACAACGGATCGCAGTTTTTCATCTGCACCGCTAAAACCGAGTGGCTCGACGGCAAGCACGTCGTGTTCGGAAGGGTCGTTGAAGGAATGGATGTTGTGAGGCGATCGAGAAGGTTGGATCTGGCAGCGGAAGCACCTCTAAGCCGGTGGTCGTCGCCGATTGCGGTCAACTCTGATGGATCTGTATCAGACTGGATGCTGAGTTTCTATATCTTTTGATTTTTCCTTTCCTGTGTGATCTTTAATCGTTTTCATGGTGGTTGTTCTTAGGGTTTATCTATGGTGTGGGTGGTTTCGTTGACTTTATGCTTGGTATAAATAAGATAGTTTCACACTTTCACTGTTATGATCTTCCATTATCGTGGGGTTTGCTTAATTTGATGTTAATTATCGTGGGTTTTTCTAAATTTGATGATTAACTAATAATCTGGTTTAAACGTATGTGGGTTTTGAAGCTGTTTGTGTTTTTGGATCTATTACCCAAAGTGGGATTAAAGATTTTGTGTTGTTAGGCATTTTACCAGATTGGTGGATATGTTTTTTTTCAATAGATTATATGGGGTTTTGGAAACTTTTTTATTTTATTGAAATAAAAGCTTAAAAGGTTTTACGTCGTATTTTTTGAACAGTGGACGGATTATATAAAAGCAAAAACACAATTAATAAAGACATTAGAAAAGATCACAAAACGATTTCTTCGAATTTAAAGGGGAAGATTTTTTGTTTAATGCGATTTGAGAAGAAGAAACATTAACCCAAACAACCATATCAATTCTCAAAGCATCAAATTCCAGTACCCTTTTTTCCATGATCTCCGGTTTGATTTGCCATAAAAAACAAAAACACAATCAATCACCCATGCTTTTTTACAGTTTCATGCGATTGCAAATCGTCCACTAGGGCAGTCAATGGTGATCTTTAATGATCCCTAGGTAGGGAAAAACTAAGTTGTGACAGGTATCTATATGCCAACGACTTGTCTAGTGTACTCAACTTTCCAGAATGAAAGGATTAAAAGCAACACTAGAATAGTAGAATCACAGATTAGAGGAGTATATGACTTCCTTGCACCTGAGTGACTTCATTAAACTTCTGCATGAAGTGCCAAACCTCACTTGAAGCTTTAAGACTCAAAAGATAATCTCACAGAGAAGATCTGTCTCAATGCCCAATAAGTAGCAAGGAGCCATAGATAATCATTCTTTTGATTTTGATATTTGTTTTTTGATATAACAAGCAGGAAGATCCGTAGAAATAAAGATAGGAGGATATTTGATTTATCATCTTATATATATTTTTTGTGTATCGTGTTTTTTAATATACATAGAATCTCAAAACTATATAAGACAATAGATTTGCCTCTAGACTTAACTTAATCACAATTGTATCAAAATCTACCAACTCCTGAATTTGATTAAATAGATTGTTTGAGGTATTCTTCATTTAAGTATCTTGAACACTCATAAAATTGATTTGGTGTTCACTCCTGATTTGAAAAGGACACACAAACATGCGCCTCTTATATTTATGGACAAGACTTTATTAGGGAACACTGACTTTTCCTTCACCTTGGATTATACTCCTAAGAATTTGGTATGCACCTGCCATTTGGAGCCAACAATGTTGCCCATTTTAATAGTTTTTAAGATTTCAAGTTGGCCGAATAGTCGTTCTCTGCTCCCCATTGTGAGTGAAATTATATGGCATTAGTTGTTTTGGGATAATGAATATACGAATTGTACGGGCATGAACGAGTTCTTTTATGTTTGGAGGTCCTAACCAAATCTCTGAATTCAATAAGTGATCTTATATTTGGATGGAATTAATCTTCCCATTTTCATGGAAACAATGGAAGAACTAAGACTAACATTTGGACGCGGTCAGGGGAAAAATAACTGTGGCTTGACATTATCGACTGACTTGGAAAGAGAATTGGATCAAGAGTTTGATCATCTAAAACTTTACAATAAATAGCCAGTCCCATCTACCAAACTCGAATACAAAGTAGTTCTTTTAACCCAACATGTGAAACCCTTCTCGCATATGCATAATTAGCCTAGAACCACCTTCACCGCTAAAGCCCTCGTAGGATTGCCTCCAATCTTTAACCAACTAATGTTTTTCTTGAGGCTTTATGTAACAACCCGAAAAAAAATATCAATTTTAAAAAATATAATAACCAATTAAAACCTTTGTTTCAAAAACCGTCAAGTAGCATTCATTTGATTAAAACCATATAATATTAGAGTTAAGCTTACAAACTGCGGAGGAAATGAAATCTCGATGCGTATGTATAGTCCCGACGTGCTTTTCTCACGAATCACTTGCAAAATATTTAATCCAAAACTGTAAGCATAAAGCTTAGTGAGTTCCCCAGTATATCACATATTCCTATCATATATTACAATGCATCCACACAAGATCTCAAACTCTAACACTGAGCAATCAAATCTCCTATCCACATACATATATCGTGAGTAACAGGCCTGAATGATCTGTATGCTTAAGAATATATTAAACTGATATTGCTATTTAACATATGATACCACTGAGTCACACTAGCAACACTTACTATAATTAATTATTTATTAGAAATGATTTTAATAAATATTCAATAACTTTTATAATTAAATTGGAAATTATTTATTTCTTTGGAAATAATAATTTTTCATTAGCAAGTAACATTATATTAGCTCATGTGGTATGAATTAATAGCCATGTACAATATTTGTACTAAATAAATTCTTTGTCTTTTACCAAAAAGTTAAAGTTTATATTTTATAAACTTGGTTTATAAAAATATATAAAACTTTTTCTTCTCTTTTGTGAAACATGACCGAAATTGAGAGAAAAAAGAGTGTATGACTTTTGATTAGTTAATCAAAAGTAATGTAACGCCCGCAGATTCGGGCTAGTCAATTTAGAGACAATGAGCGTTAAAAATGACTTTTTGATGGAAGATATTTAGAAGTTAATTTAACCCAAGTTACAGTTATGTCACAAGGGTTCCGTACATATAAAGAACGCCGAAATCCGAGTTAAAATAAAGAAGAAGTTATGGCCCGTCGAAGTTTTATTGCAAAACCGACACGACA